GGACTACAGAAATGGCCGACCCTTCAAGACCTGGCCACTGCTTCCCTAGAGGTGAGAGCCACCCTTGGGTAGGGCAGTGGGAACAACTGAGGGACTGACCACTGATCTCTTTGACCTCTGACCTCTCCTACAGGAAGTGAACCAGCTCTGGTCTGGCCTGGGCTATTATTCTCGAGGCCGGCGGCTGCAAGAGGGAGCTCAGAAGGTAACTGGGTGGTGGGCTGAGGAACAGGAATCCAGTGGCCTATGGTATCTTATAACTCTCAGCTTTCCTACCCAAATCAGGTGGTAGAAGAGCTAGGAGGCCATATGCCACGAACAGCAGAGACCCTGCAGCAGCTCCTGCCTGGTGTGGGGCGGTACACAGCTGCAGCCATTGCTTCCATTGCCTTCGGCCAGGTGAGCCCATAACTCACCTGTACTTAGTATATACACCCTCCATCCAAGCCAAGTCTGATTCCTGGTTCCCCTGTGCCAGGCAACTGGTGTGGTAGATGGGAATGTATTACGGGTGCTGTGCCGTGTCCGAGCCATTGGTGCTGATCCCAGCAACACCTTTGTCTCTCATCATCTCTGGTAGGATATTGGGGTGATGGGAAAGTGGGAAGGATCTGTTTAAAGGGCCTTTGCTTGCAGCAGTGTTCCCTTGTTTTAGGAGTCTAGCCCAGCAGCTAGTGGATCCAGCCCAGCCAGGGGATTTCAGTCAAGCAGCTATGGAGCTGGGGGCCACAGTGTGTACCCCACAGCATCCTCTTTGCAGCCATTGCCCTGTTCAGAGCCTATGCCAGGCACACCAGAGGGTAAGCCTACCTGGGGAAGAGGTATTTAGGGGTCCCAGTGAGTGACCCTTGCCCTGTGACACTTTACTCAATGTATCTCAGGTGGAATGGGAACAGCTCTCAGCCTCACCCTGTCTGCCAGGCAGTCCTGATGTAGAGGAATGTGGTGAGTGCTTGCCCTGTCAGGGAGCTGCCTGTTCCAGCCTCATTCTAGTTCTCTCTATAACCTGAGTAAGAGTCTACTGTGGACTAAGCCTGCTCTCTGGCTTGGCACCTAAGCCCTACTGGCCTGAGTGGAACTGGGAATCTTTGTTTCCAGCTCTCAACATTGGACAGTGCCAGCTTTGTCTACCTCCCACAAAACCCTGGGATCCCACTCTGGGAGTGGCCAACTTTCCTCGAAAGGCCAGCCGCAGGCCTCCCAGGGAGGAGTACTCTGCCACTTGTGTTCTGGAACAGCCCAAAGCCGTTGGGGGTGCTCTCATTCTGCTAGTGCAAAGGCCCAACTCAGGTACCTAGATAACGGGATTGGAGGGCAGTGTCACAATCAACTGGGAGGAATGGGAGAGTCTGCAGCTGAGGCCTAACCCATACCTGGCTGCCGTCCCTCAGGTCTGCTGGCAGGACTGTGGGAGTTCCCATCTGTGGCCTTGGAGGCCTCAGAACAGCATCAGCACAAGGCCCTGCTGCAAGAACTGCAGAGTTGGGCTGGACCCCTCCCAGCTACTCATCTCCAGCACCTTGGAGAGGTAGGTTAGCAGTGAAGGTGCCAGGAATAGTAGCTTTTGTGATCACAGTCACAGGCCTATTTCAGTCTCCCATCCCTCCCCTCAGCTTGTCCACACCTTCTCTCACATCAAACTGACTTACCAAGTCTATGGCTTGGCCCTGGAAGGCCAGACCCCAGTGACCACTGTACCCCCTGGTGCTCGCTGGCTGACCCGGGAGGAATTTCACAGCGCAGCTGTCTCCACTGCCACAAAAAAGGTACTGCTTTTGTCTTCATTATCCTTTTTTGTTTTGTACACATTTTATATGAACCTATTGCTGTATAAACACACA